AAGAAGGTCAGGTGAATGTGCTCCAGACCATGAGCCGGTGCGATGGCTGGCCGAAACAACGCGAGGGACACGAAATAGGAACCTTCAACTTCAACTCACTTGCGGGCTGCAAGCAACACCACTCATTAAAGGTAATGCAAGCACCGGATCAATAGCCCCGTCCCTCAAGGCTTGCTATTGGGGGTGGGGAATGTTGGACTTCTTTTATATATTGGGGGTGGTCAATCAGGAGAGGTCACCAAGACCAAATCTCTTCGTGAGGAGAGGCCCCCAAAGACTAAATCTCTTCATGACGAGGGCTTCAAAATACAAAACATCTCTTCATGAGGAGGGATCCCCAAAGACTAAAACTCTTCATGCTGCAATGGGTTCTGATTCTGATCAACGAGCCTATGGTGGATTTACCATCGCCAGCTAAGAAGAATCACGAGACTAGGCAGGCGATGGGGAGCAATCAGTGTGGCCTACTTGTTTTATCATACATGGAGCATGAGGTAGCACTGGCCACCAGTCATGGGCCAGCTGCTTGCGGACGGGCAGTGGGCATGAGCAAGAATTTTCTGACAATATTGAGAAAGATGCATGGGGAGGTGGAGAAGAATGAGGAGAAGCAAGTTTTGGCTGGGAAGAAGATGGAAGACGAGAGGATCAAGATTGCTGCCATTGCCAAAGAGAGATGGACAAGAGGCGACGGCTTAATAAGCTCCAGGCATTGGACCGTAAGGTCACCAATGAGGGCCAAGAATTGCAGGTGCATGAGCTGCTGGATGGGTACTTCAAGGAAAGGGAGAGGACTTTGGCCAATGAGGCGGGTGTGTGCAGCAAATGTCGCATGCGATCAGGATGGCTTGCATGTGACCCAGGTAAGCTCACAGCATATTGGATGAGGAAAGAAGTCGGTATTGAGAGAATGTTGTTGCGAGATGAACTGTTCGACTGACATCAGTCGATGTTGTCAAATGGGTGTCCAGCTGTTCCATGAGACTTTCTGGCCAAAAGAAGTAGTAAACGTGAAAACCCGTGCTTGCAGGCCTTCCACTTGCTCTTTGCGATTGAAGTTGGGGCGAGGTTGTCAAATGGGTCTGTTGCGCCAACTGTTCCGTGAGGCTTTCTATCCCAAGAACGCCTAAGACCTGGTCACCGATCAGCTGTGGTCACCACTACGCCTGATAGAATAGCCCTGCGGGTCTCAAGGTGCATGGTATCCTGATTGGAGGAGACCTTTGCTGCACATAGCCACCAAATAATTTGGCCAATGAGTTTCACTGGATGGGCAGTGCCAAAGGCATGAGCCAACAATGAGCCAACATCGGAAAAAAAGGTTTGTTGGAATTGGGTTGGAGAAGGGTTTAAATTGGCAGTAGGACCATAGGATGAGGGAATGGTGAAATAGAAGGACTGCCACAATTGAATTGGACAAGGTGTTTTCAGGCTTAGTTGACAAGGAGACCATAGGATGACGGATTTGTCGAATGAAAGGTGGTGAGCAAGGGCAAGGAAGGCGGTTAGTGTTGCCAACAATTATTCTTAAGAAAAGTGGATCAAACTATATGAGGGGGATAGGTCCAACTTCTTCGCAATGGGCTAGAAGGCTTGCTGCAAGGCGAGTATGACTGCAGGAATTATATTTTTTATTTGTACATCATACTTAAACACACACACGCACACAAGAGCAAGGCCATTGAACTTGCAAACGTTCAAAATTTGGGTTAGACTCACAGTGAATGTGTCGTGAGGCAGCAAGTGCCAAAAAGACTCGGTCAAAGTGCCAAAAAGACGGGTCAAAGTAGCATTCCTCCACCTTATTGACTCTTTTGTTGTGGGTAATGTAGAGTGTAAAATCTGCAAATGAAGTAATTGACCCTAAAGGATCCTGGCAGCTGATCCACTCGGCCAGTGTGTTCCCTTGAGAGGAGCAAGGCATCGCCGAGATCACGGCGGAGGCGGTGGTGCTTCAGCCACACGTGGGTGTGCGTGCCCCTAGATGTTGTGGCATTGAATTTTCCCATGGGATTTTGATTGCTCACCAAAACGAAGAGAATACACTCGAGGATGTTCGGGACTGATCCACACCCTGGGGACGAGCGCTGGCGGCATTGGTTGGGTTCCTGAAACGCCGAGTTCGATGCCATTGACCATCAAAGGGTTCAGGCATTTCCATCGAAAGGTGGAACAAATACCTTCGCATTGTGATCTATGCGGAACTCTGTCCACCTGATCACGGACCTTTTTTTCTGGATCTTATCCGGATAAATCCGGATATCCAGAGGATGATGTCTTATCCGGTGCCATTTTCCGGATGGACGTCTTTGTTGCCAGGTGATCTACGCGGCCAAGGAGGCTGTGGGCGCCTGAGGACGGTAAGGACACGAGTGGAGTCACAGAGGTGGTTTTTTGAAATTCTTTGGGGTGATTTGTTTTCTGTTTCTGTTTGTCTCTTTGATTCGTTCTTTTGGAGATCTGCCTCTTTTTAAGGTTTGCTTCAGTGATCAGCTTTTCTTAGGTGCCTTTTCGCATATGTTTGGTGACTGTGGCACTTGGTGTTTATGTTTGGAGGGCCCTTTGTGTTCGGTATTGGTTTCTCATTGGAGACTTCTTTGTGCTTTACATGTCCATGCACTTGTCCATGAGGGAGAGCAAGGGTAGCCGTGTTTCCAATTTGAAGACCTCTTTCCTCCAATTTGAAGCCCTCTACCCGTGTTATTTCCCCTGATCGCTACGGGGTTCTTATTTCTCAATGACTAGGTGCCTGTATTCCTTTTTGGTTTGCCGCTGCTGTGTGCGGCCTGTGTGATGGCCGTTTTGGTTTGTCGCTGCTGTGCCGCTGCTGCCTTGCCTCCCTCCCCTCTTCTCTCCTTACATGTCTCCCCACTTGTCTCACGGGCTCGCTGAACTAAGAGGAAAAGGTGTGTTTCTGTTTGACTTAGTTGCTATCTGGGGTCTATGCCGGTGTTATTTTGGCATTGCACAAGACTGTGTTAAGAGGGAGGTCTCCTGGCCCAAGGGGTCGACTGGTTGATTTTCCTTCTTTCCTTCTTTCTTGGGGTTGAACTGGGAGGTCTCCCTATTTTGATACACACCCAAATCCTGTGAACCGCAGCAGGATGTTGACATGTCAATTTGCTCAGGGCAAGAGCACCAAGTGGCTTGGATCCCTCGTGCAATCTGCAGTATCATGAAACCCGCGCATCATGGCACCGAAAAAAGAACATTGTTCTTCTCTTTGAAGGCTCCTCCGAGACTCAGTCGCCATGCAAAAAGACAGGATGGGATCCTCATATTTTATCAATGTTCAATCATTTGTAGCCTGAGATTCCTAAGATCTGTATTTTGTTATGGCCAGCACTTTTGCTTTGCTGGGCCCTTTGCGCCTGATGTTTGTCCCTTTGCGCTGCAGGAACTGGGAAGGCGGCTGCCAGTGACCTGCTGGAGCACCTTCGCAGCTCGCCAAGTAGCAGAGGCCCGAGCACCCACTGGTTGGAGACACACGACCGGAGACGTAACGGGAGACGTAACGGGAGACATCTCCACTCTTTGGTGCCCGGGAGACGTAGGGCGGCCCAAAACCAATCATTCGTGAGCTCCACTCTGGAAGACGATCCCGACCCTGAACACCACCAAATTGGTAGAGGAAAACAATCTTCCAGAGAATGTATCTTGTCAGGGTCTATGTTAGTTTTTCGGGAGTGTATTTTTGGTCCCTGAAGCTGTTCATCATTCTTCATCGCACCGGCAGGCCTCCGAAGGGCACCGCTACCGCTGCAGCTACCGCTTTGATGCGAGCGACCAAAAACCACGGCGAAGGGTCTACTTCAGCGGCGAAGGTCCGTTTCCAGGGTGGCCGTGACATGGATCGTGACACACCAAACGTCCAGGATTCTTGACTCCAGAAAGTTCAACATTTCTATAGTGGAGTGATGGCACAATCCCCAATGTCGGTGGTTTATATGGACCCCCATCCAAAGGGCATTTTGGAGTTTGTGCCACCACTCTAAGTGGTGTTACACAATGGGGGGCTTGTCCTCAAAAAGCCTGAAGACGCATCGAGCCGTTCAAAGAACATGCTATCAGCTAGGCCACCCTGTGTTCCATAAGTTTCCCTTTTTCAAGCAAGCAAACTGATGTGGGTCCTATTTTTGAGACAGGTGCATGCATTGCCACTGCATATGGAAGGGATTGCATTGAGAATCAGCTCTAAGACTACCAGACGTCTTCTCAAGACATGGAACTGCTCATGGTGGCCTCCTCAACTCCTTTTCGTACTTCGCTTTGGCGGTGAGCTCTACGAAAAGTATTCATTACCATTCTGATTGATCCCTTTTGCTCGTTGAAATTGTGCGGTGGCTGGTCATGCAGTTCCTGCCCCAAACGCTGGTCATGCATCTGCAGTACTGGCTGGTCAAAGAGCTGGCTGACGGCACGCGACGGTGCCGTAGAACTGCAAGGTGAAGTCAGAACAGCGCTAGGGCTTCCTTGGTTCTCCATCCTCATGGGGTGGCAAAGCGGCTGCTTTCCATGTGTCCAGAAGGATGTTTTTCACAAAATGGATCCCCAAACCAATGGGTTGGTGGACATCAAATCATTTATGGTTCCTAAGATTCAAAAGCACTCACATGGATCCTTTTTTTTAATCAGCCACTCAACGGTGATGGACATCCAAGTGAGCAGTAGACAGCTGCGGCAGCGGCCTTATGCGACAGCTGCGGCCCGTTTCAGGCAGCGGTGATGGTTCAATTGTTGCAGAGAACTGTGGCAATCGATTCATGCTGCTAGAAAAGCGGTGCGACTCGATTGAAAGCATTGAAGATCTTCATGATTCTTTCACAATTCTTTGACCTCTATGAGCCCATATGCTTTTTCATAGTGCTTTTACATGAATGGATCTTGAAAAAACAAGCCAGGGTCAAAGCGCCCAACTCTGGGCCTCCCGAAGTTCGGAAGCCTTTCCTTTTTGGGACACCGGGCCTTTCCCTCCACCAAAGTGTAGACCGAAACCTGAGGTTTCAGATGCTGGAGGATCGTCTCTTGATCCTGAAGCCCTGCGGCTGGGAGACCACTGGACATGCTGACGCCCCACAGCTGCCCGACTTCCTGCAGGCGGCGCGGCGCGGTTCGGGCGCGGCGCGGCGCGGTTCGGAGGCAGTGGAGAGCGAGGGCAATGGGGATTTTCAGGATCCAGTTCCTGATGAGGGAATGAACTCGGTGGAGTTGGTCAGTTTAGAAATGGTCGCACATTCTTTTTTTGATTCTTCTTGTAGCTTGAGGCGACGTGAGGGTGGACTGTCCGATGGATTTCATGTTGATGTGGCAGGGGTAGAAAATATAGCTCGGAGGCCGCTGTGGTCCAAGGTTCCTTGTGTCTTGAAATCAGCCCCTTGGGCCTTGCACGTGTCACCTGGGGAATGTGGTGCCCTGTGTCCTGCATGTGGCGCGAAGTGAGAGCAAGCAGGAAGTGAGAGGAAACATGTGCTTTTGATTCCTTTTGTGCATTGTTTGGCCCAGCTTGTCTGCAACCAGAAAGTGCAAGAAAGCAGGCCAGCCAAGAGAATGATGAGAAGAACTTGTGCTTGGATGTTTTCGCTATAGGCTATAGGTGATGTGTAATGTGATGTAATGTGTATTGTTTCCCCATGTGGCTGTTGGTACTCGTATCTCAGTATATCGATCCCGAGGTCAAGATCAATTGCACGCTGAACACCAAGAGTCCCAGATCTACAAGCGTTGAACCCCAACAGCAATCTACCAACCTACCAACCTTTGACTTAACCCAACTGATTCCCCTTCACCCATTCCACCGACCTTTCGCGCCACCCGGGCGCGAAGCTGCGGGATCGCCCCATGGGCCGATGCTGCGCTGGGCGCTCAGCGGTGAATCACTGGATCTGGACGCGGACGTTCCGGCGGAGGAACTGGCGGAACGGATCACCGAGAAGACGGGCGTGTCCAGCCGCTTGGTGTGTTTTTTTTTGGTGCGCGGGCTGGCTTGGCAGGCGCGCGCGCACACGTACCGGGGTGTGTACCCGTATCATCTCGTATCCTTTCTCCAATCATCATGGAAGCTGACCAGGATGATTTTTGCAGGGGCCTACGTTCCAGTTCCGTGATTGTTTCAGGGTGTGTACACCATTGTACACCTTGGAGTTGATGGCGTCTCGCAGATTGACAGGAAACAGGGAGATCAGCCAGTGACTGACCTGGTCGAGTGAAGCTAGGTCACTTCCAACTGAACCATGTACCTGCTTGACTTGACGCTACGCAGTGATTATTTCATTCTTTCATCTTGCGCCCTTTAACAGGACGCAGAGTTTTTGGGGAAACAGGAGAACCTGCGCCCTTTTGACACTTAGAATTTGCAGTTGAAGTTTAGAAACTTCCTTGGAACTCCTGACACCTTTCAAATTCATGGTCAGACACCGCTCATGCAGGTCATTTGGTTACCCAGGCTATTCCAGGGCAACCGTGCTTGGCCGTAGGTACATCTAATCTCAATTGACTCAAGTGTGTGTAAGAGTGTGTGCGAACGGCGAACGGATGAAAGCGATGACTTCTGGGGGAAGGCTTGAGTTGTAGAGACCTGAAGAGATGGCGGAACCGTGAGATGCATGTAGGTCAAAAACCAGAGACCCAGGTCTACAACCGCACATGAACGGAACAGACTGCCAAGGAGGTGAAGCTACAAGAATCTGGGGTTATTGCAGTGTCTACAAGCAGGTATTACGATAACACAAGAAAACATAGGATATTCACGATATTCACGACGTTGTTTGTTCTTTTCTTTTTAAACTCTGTACGTCGTTTCGGCGGTGCACGTGTCCATTTCCGGGCAAACCCTTCTGGATTTTCATGCTAGATTCGATCTGCCCAGCAGAGCCTGACCAGACTGCATAAAATGTATTACGGAACATATACAGATACATAAATATATGCTGTATACAGATGCTATACTTTCATACATTGCTCTAGCCTAGTGCTTAGCAGTTTTCAAAGAGATCAACATGCCACCTGCGAAGTGAACGTGATCGAGATGTGGCACTGGTTTTTGACTTAATTCTTGGGTAGTTGGCGAGACTCCCTCCAAACACCTCAGCAATCCGGAAACTGGGAGTAGAAAGGAACATGGAAAGATAGCTACTCCCCACTATGGCCAAGGATGCTCCCAATGGGAGGGAGGATGAGCGCAGACGGAGAGACTCCGTTGATTCATTTATACCTAGGCCTAGTGACTTCCAGTGGGATGATCCACTGGCCGCTTCACCAAGGCTACTGCCAGCAGCTCTTCTTTGACCATCCAGGCGAAGTGCGCGTGGCACTTCAGACTCAGGTGTCTTTCCACTGCAAGAGGATCTGAGCAACACATTTGTTTGTTGGGAGATCGACCACCACGAGTTTTGTGGTGACAAATGTAGACAAATGTCACGTTTGTGGTCCATTTCATGCCAAGGACACTCCTCTAAGCTGACTGTTCGAACATCTATCCCCCACCTCGGAAACGGGTTTAGTTCTGGACACTGTTCGAAAACGGGGGCAAACTGATTGTTGAGTGACTGAGCGTAGCACTGCGTAGGATGCAACCGGTCGAACCGCATAGGACAACTTGCCCCGCCGGGTCCTTCCGAGCCAACAAATTCCATTCTGGGGGGATGAATCAACATTCCACAGCAACACACGCGGACACATGAAGACGACTTGCCAGTTGCTGGGCAACTGAGTTTCAAACGATGCCCGATAAGAGAAACAAAATCCCAGTAAATATGGATAGTCAATACTTCCAGGTTTACAGTTCTTTACTATATAATGGAATTGTCCATATTGTCCCAAAGCCGAGGTCCGCTCTTCGTTCGAACACCCCAGGTTCTTACAGAGACATCAAATCGACAGCTGTGAGCTGAGTCGCGGGTTTGTAGCATTCTCTAAAAGTCGAATCCATCGTTCTATGGCGTCACAGAATATCTGAGAAACCGGTTTCCCACCTGGCTTGACACCTGCGTTGTTTCAGCGCGCGCGTTTGATTCTTCAAAGGTGAACGACTTTGATCGCGAGCTCCTCATCGCTGCAGAAGAGGGGAGTGAGGAGGTGGAGGAGCGAGGAAACTACACTGGTAGGAGTTTGGAGGTAGGTTTGGGCTTTGAAGTTACTGGATGGCTGGAGGAGTTGCATAGGTAGGTTTACTGGATGACACCGAAACATCCACCGCAGCGTGGTTGTTTGCATCAGTCCCCAGGACCTCCTGCGGCGCTTTCAGAGCCCCAATTGTTGCTCGGTCCGGACAGTGCGGCGAATACGGCAGCGGTCGTGACCCACCTGGAGCCCGACCGGTCGGCGTACGAAAACACGACCGACACCTGGTAGGTCAACCGGTGGGTCTCCTGGTGTCAGCTGGCTCCCCACCAGACAGATGACCAAGCAAGGAGATGTCATGGCCTTGGTTTTAGGATGTTTTAGGCTTTAGGGCAAAGTTTCAGCCAAAGTAGTAGGAAGGGCATGCTCCACTCAGGAGATTCACTATGGACTTTTGGTTCAAGGGTTTTGCTTCCTTTACAAACCTGTGGATTTCGCAGCTGCTGACTCTTCATGGAGAACCTAGATCCAGACATCACCACCAGGTGCTGGAACGCCCTGCAAGCACTGTTTCTTTTTCTAAGGCTCCTGCCTTGAGCTCCTTCATTGTGTGAAAGACATACTATATATATATATATATGGTTGTCGATCTAAAGGTCCTAGTCAGCAGTGTGTATGACGATGACCCGGAACATATCAAAATCTCATTTGGCGAAAGTTTTTTCTCGAGTTGGCGAAAGTTTTTTTTTGCGAAAGATCTGGCGAAAGATTAAATATGTACTTTTGTATGAATGTTCATTTGCTTTCTGAACAGCTGGTGGCAGTGACTCAGAAGCTAGATGAGCTGTGGAAGTTAGATAACCTGCTGCTGCTGCGGCTGCTACTACTACTACTACCACTACCACTACCACTACCACTACCACCACCACGACCACGACCACGACCACGACCACGACCACGACCACGACCACTACCACTACCACTACCACTACTACTACTACTACTATTCCTGCTCCTGCTTTGGGGGGTGGCTTTGCCACAAAACTCTACCCCGCAAAAGGCGAAAGTTTGGCGAAAGTTCAGCTCAAGATTGGCGAAAGTTCACCCTGCCACATCTGACCGCCCATTATGAGTAAGTTTGAGTGACCGGCTACTACAGTGATTCTTGCAATTTTGATTCTTGCTGACACCCAGGAGAAACAAAAGAGACGTACAGGGTGTCAACAGTTAAGTAGAAGACACATGCTGACAAACAGTGAAGTTTCTATTTTGTGTTTGCCAGTAAAGAAGAAGCCATTGACGTGAACAAAACACAACATACATGGCACACATAAATAGAACGTACTTCGGCGAAAGATAAAACGCAGGAAGGCGAAAGTTTGGCGAAAGTAAATTTTTTTGGCGAAATTGACGGATCCCGGATAAAGGAATTTAGATCAACGCCCATATATAGGAACCGAACTGGATAGAATATTCCAGCCGATGCGCTTCAGGTTTGAGTTGGAAGAAAGCATCCCAAGCCATGGTGAAACGTTGCTAGGTGTTCTCACTCATATCTAAGGTGTGGATGAACTACAACGCTCGCCTCTCTTCACCGCTAGCAAGGCGCAAGTTAGGGTGGCGAAGTCTGTGCAATTACAGGATGGAATAGGTCGCACAAGAAGTACTTTTATTGTTCATCAAACCTCCTACCTATATCATATACATTAAACATAAAAGGGTGCTTTTGCATTTGCCTTTTTTGCTCCAAGATGACACAACTCAAGGGTGAAACTGTTCCCTTTTGGGGGGTGAGAAACCGATCCAGCATCTTTTGCCAGCCAGAAAAAAACACCACGGAATTAGGACTTATCGAGAAATACTCTTCAATTTCGATACGATGCCAAGTTTCCTTTTGACCGAGCTATGTCGCTAAATCTATTTCCTCGGAGACCATAGACTTGCTCTCCAACCACCGTAGTTCCGGCTGTTCCGACCAGGCCGGGCATCGGTTGACCGCGCGCCGCTTGCTGGAGGCCCTTGCGGACGTGAATCACAGC